GTGGCTGATATGTAGAACTGAATGGTATTGTAAAATAAAATTAAATTTTAAAAAAGAGGCCTTTGTCGCTTTGCTTAATCCTTCCTACTCTGCAGCCCTTTCTCTCAGGTGTTTGTCTCAGCAACAGGAATCTAACACTGGAGAAGACCTCTGTAGGTCTGGGCCTATTACTGCTGCAGGCCCGCCCTCTGGGTTGTTTTTTATTTTTTATTTTTTTTAGACAGGGTTTCTCTGTGAAGCAGTGTTGCTGTCCTGGAACTCACTCTGTAGACCAGGCTGGCCTCAAACAGAGATCCACCCACCTCAGTATCCCAAGTGCTGGGATTAAAGGCATGCACCACCACCACCCACCTACCTTTCTTTTTAATTTAAATTCTGTCCTTTTACTACACTGCTAGGCTCCTTGAGCAGGTAGAAAAGGCTGTTGTCAAAGCAGTGGGCAGGAAGGAAGCAAATGTTAAAGCTAGCTTGGAATATGAAAAAGAACTGGAGCCCCAGGTAGGAGACTGACCCTGCAATGCCTGCACTAAGCTGGAATTCTTTTTCTTTGTTGACATAGGGTCTCAATATAGCTCAATATGGCCTTGAACTCAAGATATTCCCACCTCAGCCCCCAAAATGCTGAGGTTACAGGATTTGACATAATCCCTGGACTTTTTCCTCTCTGTGGTCCTTGGTATTGAACCCAGGGCCTTACACAGGCTAAGCAGATGCTCTGTTTCTGAGCTACATCTCTAGCATTCAAGCTGGAATTCTTGAAGGGATAAATGGCCCTAGGTTGATAATACTCTATGGTAACTACAAAAAGCAAATGCAGACAGTGTAGTGATGAAAGCCTAAAACCCAACACTTCGGAGACAGGAGCAGGAGGAGCAGGGGTTCAAGGCCACCCTCTGCTGCATAAATGGTTCAAGGCAGGCCTGAACTGCATGAAACCTTGTTTCAAAGAAAAAAACAAAACAAAAAAACTCCGTGATGGCTCATGCCATTAATCCCAGCACTTGGGAGGCAGAGGCAGGTGGATCTCTGAGTTCAAGGCCAGCCTGGTCTACAGAGTGAGTTCCAGGGGAGGCAGGGCTACACAGACTTTGTCTCAAAAAAAAAAAAAAAAATCCAGCAGGATATGATGCTGAATCTCTGCAATCTCAGCACAGGGAAGATTGAGGCAGGAGTATTAGGAGTTCAAGATCAAGGTCATCCTCAGCTTCATAGTGAATTTGAAGCCAGCCTAAGCT